GTCTTCATTGCTCATCTACTGGCAAAAACACATTTAATATAAAAATGAAAACATTTTTCATTCAGCCTCTATTTATAAAGGCTAGTCTCATTGAGCCATGAGGACTCATTTACAAGAGAGACCTACATTTCCCACATACATAATATTTCTGAATCAGCCTTTTCTGCCTCCTCATCCTTAATCATCTGAACAAGGGAAATTAATAAAGAAATAAAATCATTGTCCAAGCTTTTCTACTTTAGGGTTTTACCTGTATTTTTAGCAGCAGGTTGTTTTTCCCAGTGTCTACGCAGAATAAATTTGATAAAACCTTTTAAATAGGTTTTCAGCAATGGTTAAGACTTCTGCTCACTGATCTTTTTTTTTACCACTTCCAGCTTCTGCTATTTTTTATCACCATATGTGACTTTTACTTTAATGTAATTTAATAATAATACATGCCATTTGAGAGACCTTCAACTGAAGGTACACTGATAGTTTTGTATGATGGAGCAGCTTTTTGTCGTGACAAACTGCAGAGATGATGGTTGTTTAGGTGAAGAATGTGATTTATCGGCCAAAATCTCAGGTCAGACTTTTTAGAGATCGATGATCAGCCAGAAAACTGCTCTTGGTGCACCCCTGCTGTAAAGGTTTTAGGTCACCTTTTTACTTGGTTTTTATTGCATTGATCCTTAAAGGTGACAAACTTCCATGTATTTTTAAGGGGTCTAAAGTGATAAGAGTTTTAAAGCATTTTGACTAGGGCTGGGTATCGTTTTTTTAAAAATCCAGTACCAATGCCGGTGCCTTCGCTTCAATATTGGTTCCTGAACGGTGCTTATCGATGCCAATTTTATTATTAATATAGATTCTAACAAAAAGAAAATTACAGTACATATCTTTAGTTATATTTTTTAGCTTTCATATTTTTCCATTCCAAGCAGTTTTTTTTTTTTTTTTTTTTTACATAAAAAAAATTAACAAAATTTTCAGGTCAATAGAACAGTTGCAATCCAGTGACACGTCAGTGTCTTAATGCTCACTGCTACACACTGAGGACCTTTTCACTTAACAGTTTTTCTTCAGAAAAATCAACATGTCTGCTTTCTCTGAACACAAACAAGCCCACTCCTGGCTGATGGTCTCTCCAGCAGTAGAAAATGTTCACTCTCAGGGTGTGGATGATGCTTGTTACACACACAGATACCTAGTTGTCAAGTTTGATGTTCTCTGGCATAGTGTCCCTCACATTCCACCACTGTATTAACTGAGGTTAGGGATGATGCAGACTTCTGTACATCTGTATCTTTTCCTAAATCTTCTCTGTGGTTCTCTGGGGTTTAGGGCTCTTATCAACTCCCTAATTGACATTATAACACAAAACATCAACAATAACATGGTTGTGTTATTGCTCAGAAACCGTTATCTAGGCTGAGAGATAAAGACTTAACTGGGTAACTGATCAACAATATCCTTTACAGCTTGCTTACCTCCACCATGCAGCCTCCACTGTAGAAAAAGACAGCAAATTTTTAACAACAAAGTTTGTGACTGTCCTGTGGCACTCATCTCACTTTTCTTTTTCCCTTCTGTCCTCCTCACGTCAGGGTCAGAGACTCCTGTGAGGAGGACATAAACAGTTAACATTAGGTGAACTGTTTAAGCAGCTGACCGGATGGATGAGCACATGTTTATAAGCTAAGCTTTATCTGTTGCTGTCAATCTTTAGTTAGCTTTTGATTTTAGCTAGCTACATCCGAGGCGCCAACTAGAGGTTTGGAGGGTGAAGTGTTTCAGTGTAAAATGCTGCTCTGTTGCTGTTCATTTCTTAAGTGAGACGACTGGAAACTGTTAAGAGTTAACAACATATTATTTTGTTTAAAACATATGGCTAAAACTACATTTGATATCTTTTGCACTGTTTTGCACCACAAGAAAGAAGCCCAATACTTGATTTGTTTATTATTTAAAAACTCTCTGGACCTAGTAGTGGAATTTTCTTAATTAAAAATAAATGATGGCCAAAGGACACCCTATGCATTTGTTCATTCCTATTGCAAGTTTTATACCAAAAACATATTGTGATATATATCGTTATCGCCACCCTTCACGGTACATATCGTGATATGAATTTTATGCCATTTCGCACATTTCTAGCTTGATGGATCAGGAAAATATCTTGACAAAACTACCATTTTTATTTTTTTCAAGACTTTTTAAAATTACTCTGTTGTTAGTTTTTAAAGAAAAGTTATTTGAGTAATTCTCAAAACAGTGTTCTTGTAGTTATTGCTGTTGTACAACTACCAGTTTATACCTTTTACAAAGAAAAGTTTGTAACTATTTACTTTATTATTTTATTAGTTACTTTATGCTATAGTTGACTAGTATTACTTATAATATTTACTTTATTCTTTTATCACTTTGATAAAGAGTTTAATCTGAATGAGTCTTTTGGGATTGGGGGGCTCAGATTGGCTAGAAAATGGGGGGGGGGGGTCTTTGAGGAAAATAGGTTGGGAACAACTGCTCTAAAATATGCAGGATGGTGGCCCTCGAGAACATCATCTTTGTATTGTTTTCAAAACATAATGAATTAATTCTCTTTAGCTGTTTTCTTAGTTGCTAACCAATTATTTAAACTAAATGCAAAGTTACTGTGCCACATTATCTATATTCCCTCAGTAACAAACTTATTTTATTGATTTATTACTGATATTCCCTCAGGAACAAACATATTTATTACTGATGTTCCCTCAGTAATAAATCTGTTTGTTGTTGTTTTATCCTGCGATCAACTGGTCGCACAGACTACTTGTCATCACTTCGTCACTTTATTGATCCGTGGCACTTGCTTACTTTTTCACACGTCATTGTGGAAAAAGTAAGCAAGGTTGTAAATGTGTAACTTTAGACTGGATACATACATGCCAACATGTGTAGCATCCATATTTACTTATCTAAACCCTGCATGTGATGTCACATCTTCTGCACATGCAGATCGCTTCACTGCTGCAGAGTTTTTATGGAAATCTGATGACTGTTGTGTTCAAATTGTGATATGAACGATCACACACACCATAATAAATAAATCTGATCTGAGCAATAAATCAAGATTGAGCATTAAAACCATGGTGGTAACTGGTTGAGTTTAAATGCATAAAGTAGTTATGAGGCTCTTGTGTGTAGTCTGTTGTGTGTTCGCTTTTTTGTTGTGCAATATAAATGTTTAATACAGCCTTTAACTCCTGTTATTCTTTTTGTCTTTTTTATTCACTTACATGATCAAAATAAATTGGTACTAACAAGAATTTGAACTTTTGCAGTTACATTAGCAAACTGATGCAAAGTAGCAGTGAGTTAAAAAAAAATTTTATGATCTATTGCTCAATTATTTAAAAAAATCTCAGTAAATTAATACATGTACAAACACATCCTCAGTGTTTTTATCTATAATAATTGGCTGTAAAAAAAAATTCTTGGTGTGTGAGCCAAATAAACAGCAGAAGATTGATTTTTGTGTTTGAGGTATAGATTTTGCCTGATCATATTTTCAGTTTTTCCCACTATCACTGTCTAGCTTAATACAGTTCATTGTTTGTTAGCCTGAAACTATTTTTATGTCAACAAAACTAACAAGTTATGAGAAAATTGTATGACTTTCAAGCCCCCTTTACAAAACGGGTTTGAAATATGGCCACTGACACACGCTCCTCTTTAAGTTGCCTCTGGATGTTCCTAAATCGCCAGTCGAGTCAAATTAATCCAGGATTGCAAAATCATTGGAGGCATGGACTCTGTGACGTTGATATGGAGCATCATTATGCAACACACTCAGACCATGTCAGCTTACCTTACACATTTATCAACTGTTTGCTTTCTGTTACTACTTGTCTGCAGAGTTAGTGACATGATAAACGATGTTCTCAAGATTGCATTTGTCAGCTACAGCATTGCAGCATAGGTAAACTTAGACAAATATAACACTGACTGATTAACGACTGATTTTTTTTTTAAGCTGCTTTCACACCCCCTTGCTCTTATTTTTAACTCAACCACTGCAGGGGCTGCGGGAGCTTGGTGGTCAGTGCCATGGTTTTGTAATCCTGAGATTGCGGTTTTGAGCCCAGGTTGCATCAGGAAGGGCATTCGGTGTAAAACAATTGCCAAATCTTTCATTCGAATTCACTCACTGTGGCAACCCCTGCCAAAAGGCCCAGCCAAAAGAAACTTCAGGCTCAAGCAAGGGTTTTCTCTGGATGCTCAGTTTTCCTCCTACAGTCCAAAAGCGTACATGTTAGATTAAGCGGTGATCGTAAATTGCTCTTGGTTGTAAGTTGTTTCATTCTGTCTCTGTTGACTCTTATGGACTGGTGACCTGTCCAGGGTGTTCCCCTCATCGATTGACCAGTGGAGACAGACACCCATTTCCCTGCGTATAAAAAATGGATACATAGTCCATGGGCATGACTTATTACCGTGAATGATTCTGGTGATACAAGTTGGAGTAGAGAGAGAGACTAGGAGTGATAACCGCTCATCAAAACCAGGGCAGAAGAAATTATAATGTCTATAAAAAGGCTTTGGCATTATATGACTAATCTGGTCGTAAGGAGTGCACAAAATTGAAAGTCAAAGCTCATTTTTGCTTCACATTAAAACCCTGAACATGAATTGAGCATAATTCTTTTTGAGCTGTTGGTGGCAGTGGTAATGATTGGAGGAATACAGTGGCAGCAAAGCCTGGAGTGAAAATTCAGCTGTACCCTGTAAATGGAGCAATTTCATCTTTGACTTTGATTTTAGAAAGCCATTACTACACAATGAATACCCTCTTGAATATTTTAGTGGTTGCCTTTTTGCAGCCTGTTTTTGAAAGCGTTAAAATATTCTTAAAAAATATTCCAGATTCACATATTATTGTTGTACTAAAAGAGTTAGTTTTATGTCTTCTGATGTTGCCTGTCACCTAATTTGTTGCTCCCCTCTGGTTTCTAACAATCCCTCTCTTTCTACAGGCAGTGAGAGCTAAAGAGGATGGCTCACTCTAAAGCTCGAGCCACAGATGGGAAGGTGACCTACCCTCCGGGGGTCAAGGAGATCTCTGACAAAATCTCCAAAGAGGAAATGGTCCGCAGGCTCAAGGTCAGTGTAGCCTGTTTATATTGATCACTATGCACAAATAGAATGGGGGAATTTTCATGCTTTTCTCAGACTCTTACACTGCAGACTGGAGTTTTTAGTTCATAGAGGATAAGCTCTTTTTAAGTATCTCTGATTAAACTTTTTACTAAACATTGTATTGTTCTAACTCAACTAAAATATTACTGATAAATGACTTTGTTCACCAAGCTTTAACCCTTCATATATACTGTATCTTTCACCTTTATGCCAGATGGTTGTAAAGACCTTCATGGACATGGACCAAGACTCTGAGGAAGAAAAGGAACTTTATCTGAACCTAGCCCTTCACCTGGCCTCAGACTTTTTTCTCAAACACCCAGACAAAGATGTGCGTCTTTTAGTGGCCTGCTGTCTTGCTGATATATTCAGGATTTATGCGCCGGAGGCACCCTACACCTCTCCAGATAAGCTAAAGGTACAGTCAGAAAGCTTTTGCTTTGCCACTTGAAGACCTACACTTCAAGAGTACACAATTCTGCTTTTTCTGTAATGCAGTTGGTATTTGTACATCTTTCTTAAACACTCACTATGTTTTTTAGGACATTTTTATGTTCATAACAAGACAGCTCAAAGGACTGGAGGACACAAAAAGTGCACAGTTCAACAGATACTTCTACCTGCTGGAGGTAAGTGACTACTTGTTTGAATCAGTTTTGGTCACTTTTACTGAAAATAATTCAAACATAGGATGAAGATCAGCACCTCAAAATCTGAGGCAGTGGTCCTCAGTTGGAAAAAAGTGGATTGCCCTCTCGGGGCTGGGAGTGAGGTTCTGCCTCAAGTGGAGGAGTTCAAGTATCTTGGGGTTTGTTTACAAGTGAGGGAAGAATGAAGTGAGAGGTTGACAGACAGATCGGTGCGGCCTCTGCAGTATTGCGGACTTTGTGCCGGTTCATCGTGGTGAAGAGGGAGCTAAGCTCCAGAGCTGAAGCTCTCTGGTGCTCTCTGTCAGGTTCCTGTGACTCTGGAAATCTGGGAAAGCCTGGAGAATGACTTTCATATTTTCCAGACTGGGAAATCTCAGGGAATTAAAAAAAAACAAAAAACATAAAAAATCAGGGGAAACTCGAGATTTTATTTAGCACTGATTTTTATTTATTTATTTTTTTTGTTAAAATATCTTTCCGAGATTTTAATGTGTACATGTACACGGGACAGCTGTGGCTGACTGATTAGAACAGTCATCCTCCGCTGGGAGGGTTGGGGGTTCGATTCCACCAGCAGTCACATGTTGAAGTGTCCCTGACCAAGACGCTGAACTCCTCATTGCCTCTGATGTGTGTCCCATCGGTGTAAGAATGTGATCTAAAATCACTGGGTGGTCTCTATAGAATGATTTATTCTGATTAGGTTTGTAGAGATTTAGTAGAGTGCTGTATGAATGTGTGTGTGGAGGTAAATGAAGGTACAGATTGTGTTGTAAAGTGCATTGAGTATCATGATTAGATAGAAAGGAACTATGCAAGTCCAGTTCATTTACCATTTACTATGTATTAATGCTAGTATTGAGTGCATGATCTGCATCTACAGTGTACATAATACATATATCCTTACTGAATGAATGAGTGTAGCGCTACGTGTTCGAATAGCTGGTGCCGGCAGGTGGCGACGAGGGTGAAGAGGATGGGGGTAGGTGAGTTGTGTGTTAGCTTAGCACTACGTTTGTATTGCATGCGTTTTTTACGGTTTGGAGTCTGAGCTGAGCTGCTACAATCTCTGCTCTTTGTCTGGAAGTGACAAAGCTACGTGGGGGGTTTGTTAGGTAGTGCGCCCTCCTTGAATAATGATAGGGGAAACACTGCTGTATATTTCCACTCTGACCTGTGGTTACAGACTTTAGGTAGTGGCTGAAAGAAATAAGACTGCAGGTACAAGCAGTCAAAATGAGTTTTCTCTGCAGGGTAACTGGACTCAATATCTGGACTCTCTTAGAGATAGAGTGAGAAGTTCAGTTATCTGAGAGAGATTAATGAGTAGAGCCGCTGCTCCTCCACATCGAGTGGAGCCAGTTGAGGTGGTTCACACATCTGGTGAGGATGTCCTCTGGACATCTCTGTAGGGAGGTTTTACATGCATGTACAACTGGGAGGAGACCCCAGGGAAGACCCAGGACACACTTCAAAGACTTTTGTCTCTTTGCTGACCTGGGAACACCTTGGAGTCCTCCCAGAAGAGGTGGCGTGTTTGGACCTCCCTAGTTAATCTGCTCCCCCTTCAACATGACTCTGGGATGGACTGACAGATTGATGATTCCTTGATGATCAAATCTTTTTGATTCTGAAGCCTTTACTATTTCCCATTTTATATTTTACCCTAGATACACCACAAAAAATGTAACCATCCAAAATCGCATTTTTGGATAGTTAAAAGCCACTAAGCTGAGAAGCTAAGCTATGAGCTAAGCTAACAGGCCGACCTGGGGGAAAAAACTTCGTCTTGTCGAAGCTCCAAAATTCACGGTTGAAATCCGTGCCTTTGTGTAAAGTTGTTTTTCTCTGTAAAAAGAAGCTGAGAACTTGTTTGCTGATTTTTTATTTATTTATTAAAAGCTTTGTGTGAAAAATGTTATGCTAAAGAGCTTAAACCACACTGAGCATCTGCCATTTTGAGAACCAGAAAAAAGGAACAAGAGACAGCCCATGTCATGTCAAGGGGCCTCCCTCCCATTTTTCTTAAAGAGACACGCTGCTCGCTCCCTCACTATCCATCCTTTGGTTCAAACACTCTAATATTGCCATCCGGTGGCAAAAAAAAAAAAAGGTACTACACTCAAAACAAATTAACCAACATTTCTTTTTAAATTTGACAATAATTACTAATTATTGTCGAATTTCAAACAATATTATTGTTTATCACAATAATTTCTGAGACAATTAATCGCCCGGCAAAATTTGTTATTGTGACAGGTCTAGCTGTTACTAGACCAGGTATGTGTAGCTGATGCAAGACTCAATTTTATTTTGCTTAGTGCATCTGTGCAGGGTTAGCTAAAAACTTCAGGCCTTCGGGGTTCATAAAGCATAAATATACTCCTGATGTAGGCTCAATAATCCAGGTTGATACGTTCAACAAGGTTGAGTCAGGTCCTCTGAACGGATTATTCTTCAGATTGAAGAAGTCTTATGGATAAAAGACGAAACGTTTAAACAAAGAAGAATCCGTCCAGAGGAGCAGACTCACCCTTGTTACACTTGAATAGACTCGTTAATGAGGTGGGGACATCTGGTGTTCAGTAGTTTTGAACAAAGTGGTTCCTACTTCAGAGCTGCTATTGAAGCCTTTTCTGTAAAGATTCAGCAGCTGTGTAAAATTGCAGACAAAAGTATTAAAATATTTTTGTAAATCCTTTTTGTATTTTTATCTTGCTTGATTTTTTTTTATTAAGCATTGTTAATCTGATTTACTCCATGAACAGTTTGTTTTATTGTTTCAGTTTTTCATGAATTCAATTTAAAATAAAGCAGCATCAAGAATCCATTTTCGTCACAAAATAAAGACCAATTTAATCATTAAGAATGTAATAATAGCCTTGTGTCCCTAATAGGGTATTATGTAACAGTTTGAAGCAGCTCTGAACTAAATCTAGCAGTAACTGTGTTTCACAGAGGACATTAACAGTAAAGATACAATTATCAACCACACTAGCATTAAGATTTATAAAACACCCGATTCTTTGACTCCCCTTTGGTACGTTTTTGCCTTCTTTTTTTTTTTGCTTTTCACCCTTCAGATTTACAACTTTGATTCATTTTTACTGCTTTTGTTTTTTTTGTTTACAGCTAACAAGTAAAATATTCTTCATATTGCATTTTGCTCTTCTTACTCCATTTTTTACCCCCCTCATGATTGTAAATTGCTTTGTCACTGACTTCCTGCCTCCTCTCTCGTTGTCCAGAACATAGCTTGGGTGAAGTCCTACAATATTTGTTTTGAGCTTGAAGACAGCAATGAGATATTCACCCAACTTTACCGAACGCTCTTCCAGGTCATAAAGTAAGTCCTTCATTAAGTCATTTAAACTTTTCAAAGTGTCATTATTCCTGCATGTATGGCTAGACTTTTTAATTTTTTCGTCTCACCTCCTGTGTATTCAACTCTTACTTACCTTTGCTGCTCCATTTAGAAACAGCAGTCCGTTTGTTTCTCTTTGATGTCCGTCTCTCCTCCCCTCTTGTTTTCTTCTACCCACTTCTCAGTTTCTCTGCTGAATACCTTCAGGGCTGAATTCTGCAGCACAATATGTGGCCCTTTGCCAGTAGTGGAAAATTGGGGTTGTGTGTGTGTGTGAGTGTGTGTGTGTGTCAAGGTTGTGTCAATACTGCTCTTTTCCCTCTTTTTTAACTGCTTAGGAAAAATCTAAAGCCTGCTTTCCATTTGAAGTATTATCAGACACTGTTGGTAATTGCATCCTTTATGCTTATGTATGTGGAAGTGACACTTGGCAGTGAATGGGAGGTAATTGGACTAGAAACGCAGTCCCTGAGAAACAGAGAACAGTAACAGGCTTTACCTCCTGCTGAAATGCAGATCATTTATCAGCAAGTATGCACACCCACCCGCTCTGTGATCAGCGCCTCTTCAGTCACAAGGACCATTTGTGCGATGCCAGTTTGTTTTCAAAATGAGACGCAGCCTGTGAAAACTTCACTGTCTGCAAAATGTTTACAGGCGTTGGTTAAATCTCTGCAAAGGTACATTAAGACAAATTAATGTTGCAAATAGTGTGGACATTTTAATTCAAATCCAGTCATGAACATCCTCAGTGCTGCATATCTGTGATTAATAACCAAGCACAATTAAGCTCATTTTTCAAAACTGAAATAAAACTGAACCAATAACCAGTCTGAGGATTTAATTACCACAAAGCTTTTTGATCTTGAACATTTCTTCCCTGTTTTTGTAGCAATGGCCACAACCAGAAAGTGCACATGCACATGGTGGACCTGATGAGCTCCATCATTTGCGAGGGAGACACCGTATCACAGGAGCTGCTGGACACAGTTTTAGTCAACCTGGTACCTGCACACAAGGTACGTGCATGGAGAGCAGGTGCACGTGCTCACAAAAAGAGCTGTCACAACAAGCAGCACAGTGCATGAGTGATTTGGGTTAAGAAGAGGCAAGTTAAGAGGCTATTTTAGGTTCAGCGCCACATAAATGAAGCGATTTTCCTTTTTTATTCTCATAAATTCACAAACACTTGGTACCATGAAGAGCAGGAATTGTAGTAGAAATGGTTCCGTTAGGGAAAAACTAAATTTAGTAGATTTTGTCAGAATAATTTTCCATACCTTGTTATTCAGTGAGACCCCTGCAGGTGAAAAGAGGTAGCACAGCTTAAGAATGAATGAAAAATTAGTGAATTCTTTTGTCTGCAGTGTTAATCCCAACAAGCTTTTTCACAGTGCACAGAAGTGGGAAATTCACCTTCTGTCTGGATATTTTTCAAATTAGTTTTTTGTTTCTTTAGAATTTGAATAAACAAGCGTATGACCTGGCCAAAGCTCTGCTAAAGAGGACTGCTCAAGCTATCGAACCTTACATCACCAATGTAAGATGTTTTTCTTTTTTCCTGTGATTATTTCAGTGGTGAAAATAATGCAGTTATGTACTCTGTTCAATAAAGTTGAGAAATTTCACCATTCTTCATATCTTTCGTAGCTTGATATTAAACACTTATAAACATCTGATTACAGTAGTCCCTCGCTACTTTGCGATTCATTTATCGTGGATTCGCTATATCACGGATTTTCAAAGTAAGACTGGACATGACACAATTGACTGTTGGATGAGCCATGGGTTGTTTTTTTTTTAATTAAATTATTTTAAATGATTTTGCACCATGTGTGAAGCCCACAACTGGAAGGGAAAGCTTCCTCCTACAGCCGATCAGCTGATCTTCTCGGCCACCACACACATTTTTCCTGCATCAGCTTTGCTGTCCATACGCACTGATCGACTTTTGGCTTCCAATTTAAAATTCTAAGTATGTCACATCGTAAAAATCATCACGATCACAAAATACAAAAGTGTTAAAAGTAATTTTTTAAATTATTTTAGAGCTTCGATGTTCAGTTGTTTCAGTGTAACTGATCAAAAAGTACATTTCTGCTCCGTGCTGCAGAGCTGAAGCTGTGTGACATCCCTTTGATGCCCTGCTGCACTTCTCTTTTCAACAGTTTAAATTTAAATACTGTAATATTTTAAATAAATAATCCATGCTGTATGGATTGTTTTTTTAAAATGTGACAGAATTTAAATTTAAATTGTTTATTTAAGGAGGGAGATTGGGAGTAACAAGTGATGAGTGTGTTTGCAGCTTGGCACACGTCATGACAAAGTTTACTGAACTTGAACTTGGACTACTGTATCCCTACTTTGCGTTTTTTCAATAATCACATGTAATGGTCCCAAACACCCGTGATGAACGAGAGACTACTGTACTTCAATTTTCTGATGTTTCCCACGTTATTGTCTACATTTATGTGCCCTAAATTAGCTTTCTTTTCACAGCTTTTGAAGCTGTGAAAAAGTTGTAACTGTGTGTTTTATATGTTAGAACACTGTTTTATCTCTTCTGGCTTTAGGAGATGGGATTTATTGAGTTCTAAATATATATGTATTTTTTTTTTTCGTCTGTATCGTTCAACAGTTCTTCAATCAGGTGCTGATGCTAGGAAAGACTTCAGTCAGCGATCTGTCTGAACACGTTTTCGACCTCATCTTGGAGCTTTACAACATAGACAGTCACCTGCTTCTGTCTGTGTTGCCACAGCTGGAGTTTAAACTCAAGGTACTGAAAATGTGTTTTGTTTACACTCGTACACTTTAACAATACTGGTATCCACTTCTTACTTTTCTTACTAGATTTTATTATACTGTTATCACCTCTAGTTGCTGTAGATTTTAGGTAAACCTTGTAAACAAATTAATAATAATACAATTTCTCATACTTAATTTTAGTGTTTTAAAGTGATTGGAAAGTATTTGCAGTTTGTTACCAGCCTTTTTTATGAGTTTGTAAGTTTATCCACACTGCATGATGCAAAGCTGAATTCTCTGGGCCATTACCCACAGAACTGCATATATTCACTTTCTCTGCAGGTTTGTTGATTCATATTACAAAAATGAAGCAGTCAGCCAGTCAGCATTATGTTGCCTCTGCAGTCTCATAAAGGCGTCTCGCTGATGGATAACGCTCATTAACTGATCAGAGGGAGCGTAGATCACTGCCGTCTCCTCAAAATAATAGCTGTGATAAAAATCTCCACCACAGGCTCGGCACACTCCTCCTGTCTGCCCCCCTCTCTCACATGCTTCTGCTTTTCACCATTTTCTTATTGTTTCTTTTCATGCTGTTCGTCTCCCCTCTGGGCTTCTTTACTTGGCTTTTCAGTCGCTCCTTCTCTAGAACAATAACTGAGAGAAATAAAACTGCAGTTTCCGTGTGTTATGAAAATCATGTTTTTAATGTAGGTTTTAACAGCTTGGCACCGTACAATCACCACTGCCACATTTGGTGCATCATTTCGCTCTCTTTTTTTTAATCTTCCGTCTCTCCAGAGTAATGATAATGACGAGAGGCTGCAGGTGGTGAAGCTGCTTGCTAAAATGTTTGGAGCCAAGGACTCCGAGTTGGCTGCTCAGAACAAACCACTCTGGCAGTGTTACCTGGGCAGGTAGGTTTACTGCAGTGGGTTTGGTTGTGACAGATTTTCAAAAGTTCTTTTGTTGCTTGTTTTTTTGTTTGTTTGTTTGTTTGTTTGTCATATATCGTTTGTTGTCAATTCGTTCGTATAGTTTGACTTCCTTACTGTAAAAGCTTGTAGCAGATTCCTGGGGTCTATAGTAAAAACAGGATCACTGACTGAGTGAATCAGCTTCATGTTTGAGTTTGTGTTTTTAATGTCACAAAGTGGGTTCACTTTTCACCATTGTGTATCTTATAACAGCATCTTAAGCTGAAAACCTAATCTGCTCTGGACCAGCTTTATAATGAGTGTTAAAATTTAAAATTACGGTTAAAATGTGCTCAATTTGATGGTTCAGAATTAGTCACGTGTTACAGTTACCCATTCGTAGTGGGCGTATTTGGGATTACTACCCAAGTCGGTAACCAGACAATTTTCTGATAATTAAGCCAGGAAAAAAACAAAATACATTTTTAAAGTGTGTAATCTGCTTTGCATTATAGGCCCCTGTGTTTTTCATCTACACCTTTGTCACTTTTTTTTTATGTTGATAAAAACATGTTCATTTTGCCCATTAGGTTTAATGACATCCATGTGCCTATCAGACTGGAGTGTGTAAAGTTTGCAAGTCATTGTCTCATGAACCACCCAGACTTGGCCAAAGATCTCACAGGTAAATTGTCTATAATGTACTGAAATGTTAAGATGATTATATTTCAGGAAAACATGCATTTATGTTTTCATAAATCTCTCCTTGTAAGTTAATTTAGGGAAACATAAAACATATCAGCAACCTTCCAGCTCATTGTTGTAAAATACACATTTATTATTGATTCTCTAAAATATATATATACTTTGAATGTCTTAATAGAAAATAGTATTTTTTTACTGTTGGAATTGGCCTGTTTAGTCACATAATACTTTTTTGTTTCTTTTATGTTTCACTACAGAATTCATGAGGGTCAGATCACATGACCCAGAGGAGGCCATCCGCCATGATGTCATTGTCTCCATAGTAACCGCTGCTAAGAAAGACTTGTCCCTTGTAAATGATGCTTTGCTCAATATTGTAAAGGAGAGGACCTTGGACAAGAGAGTAAGTGCACGATTAAAGAAATTTTAGGGTCACACAGTGATTAATTAAAATAAACATGTGATTCACTGTAATTGTTGTTTATATAGGTTCTGTTGTTTAGAGCATGTTCTAATGTAGGGGCTACATTCAGTTGTCTATGGCCAAATTTACAAGTAATTAATTTCTATGTTTAAATTTGTTAATTTAGTTTTTTGTTGTTTTCCTATTTTCTGTCAGTGGCGAGTACGTAAGGAGGCCATGATGGGTCTGGCGTCTATCTATAGGAAGTACTCGCTGCAGGGCGAGGGCGGGAGGGAAGCCTCTAAACAGATTTCCTGGATCAAAGACAAACTGCTTCATATCTACTACCAGAACAGCATCGATGACAGGTTTGTTTACTTTTAATTTTTTTGTCCCCTGTGTTCATATTGAATAAATAAATAAAATCAAAAGCCATTTATAACTTGTTTTGGCAAATTTACTGAGTGACTGAGTGTTTTCAAGGGTGACACATTTAAACCCCTTTTCATGCAAATGTTGTTTAGCTACTGATTTTTTTTAATTAATTTAATTAGTTAGGTCACAGCTTTTGTATGATTGTGGGCATAAAGCTGCTTTTGATGTGGTATTTTTTATTGTTTCATGATTTTCCAGAAATGTCAAGGTAATTACGTTATATTAAAGTATTTTTACAGCACAATTTGATCTGCAGCAGGAACATCATGCATTTAGTGAGCTCTATTTATCAGTGCAGTGGGATCAAAACACAAAGGAGATGATCAGTGAACTCACCCCATCAAAGTCTCCACAAATGTAAAACAGATACAGCTGACATTGTAGGCAAGGCATGTTTGTTTTTTATTTTTCTAACTTGTGCAGCCAGAAGGCAAAACTGCAGCATCGCCTACCCTACTTAGAGCTCAAAATCTGCTACATTTCTTTGCCTACACATGCTCAGCATAGAGGACAAGCCTCCCTGTGGGGTGTTCAGTCAAACCACCCACTGGCTCCAGTTAAAGTAGCTCTGTTCTGAGACAAACTGATACAGGAGAAAAAGAGGAAAGAGAAATGCATTAGTCTTCTCAAACCACAGAAGAACATCCGAGCACAATTCTCCTTAATTGCTCTGCATCAGTGGAGTTTCTCAGTAGCCAACAGGAAAATCAGTTCTGTGCTGGTACTTCCTGTGTGTGAATGTGAGTCATTTTATAAAAGCAACAAAATAAACTATGTATAAACATGTATAATTGCTGAGAAAATTCCACTTCGAGAATTCAAAGAGTAAATTTGCTGGATTCATCATTTTCTTTATTTTTTGTGGACCCTTATCAACGTACTTTCCGCCGTACACGTCGCACCACCTTACAAGTTGCATCAGTCCAAATATGTCTAATAAAGTGGAAAAAACATAAATATGTTGCTTCGCCGTATACGTCACATTTATTTTGCGTCACCGCTGATGTGTCGCGTTTGTTACGTGTCTCCGCTGACAACCCAGAAATGTGGGCCGGCGCTGTGCCAAAAATCGATTGACTGACGGCCACGGGAGCGTGCACGGGAGGACTTTAACAAGAATTTGACAAGATTAACACATAAAAACAATTATTTGTTTGCTCGAAATTATAATAAAGGTGTGTCTCAGTCGAACTTTTCCTTAATAAATGCACTTTGACGGTCAAATCAGCTGCATTTCTAAAGCCGATTCGCGGAAGTGGGAGCGCGCAGAGGGACAACTCGCTGTGCATTTCTTCGAAATTTAACAAATAATCACCTAAAACAATTATTTGTTTGCTCCATGTTATAGCAAAAATGTATCTCAGTTGAACTTGTACTTAATAAATGCACTTCAGTGGTCAAATAAGCTGCATTTCGCCGGGACACCGCAACAAAATAAAGCTGATTTGACAGTTGCTTCAGGCGAGCTGGACGAATGTGACAGACTGTGGCAAGCCGATTGTGTCATTAATAGCCACTTTTACCTATTACATGACAACGGCATGCCATACTACTCAAGTGCCATCTAGCGGCTGTAAATGGTAGTGTTCAATATTTTCTATGTCAGAATGAAAACGGTCATAACACAGTCAAAAAATGGTTTATAAATATGGGGGAAAAAACATGAATAAGTCACTTCGGTGTATAAGTCACAGGGCATGTAAATAAACAAAAAAAACTTGTGACTTATAGGGTGAAAAATACGGTAATCAAAGGGTCTTGTTGCCCACAGTTGTGTTTTATGATCCCGGTCTGCATGACTCCATTACACAGGTTTTAAGCTTAATCTAAACAGACGTAAGCCCTGATATTATAACATGGGTATTTGTAATAAAGAATAAATAACTTTACCCTTTTCTTTTTCAGGTTGCTGGTGGAAAGAGTGTTTGCCCAGTACATGGTTCCTTACAACCTGGAAACCACTGAGAGAATGAAGTGTCTTTACTATCTCTATGCTACGTTAGACACAAACGCTGTCAAGTAAGTTTATGACAAAACTGTCAAATTGAGAAAATATTGTTCTCTGATTAGCATTATTGTAAGTATTCAGTGTGAAAATAACGTATAGCTTAAGGAAATGTTCAAGAGTTGTTGTTTTTTTCATTGCACAATGGCTATTGCGTCTCTTTCTGTGTTGTTTACAGAGCTTTGAATGAGATGTGGAAGTGTCAAAACATGCTGAGACATCATGTCAAAGACCTGCTGGACCTGATCAAAAAACCTAAGGTACCTGTGAGTGATGTGCACTAAAAATACTCACTTTTACAAACTACTGTCTTATTTTTTCTGTTTCTAAACTATTGTCTGGATTGTAATTTGTTGTAGTCTGAAGCATCCAGCAAAGCTGTATTTGCCAAAGTCATGGTGATCACAAGTAAGAATCGCTTTTTTTTTTTTTTATTACTTACTACCACCTGAATTTGTTTATTTTAGACTTTGTAGGAAATTTATTACAAATTTAGTTAATACTAACAAAACAAAAAAACTGTGTGTGCAGGGAACCTGCCAGACCCAGGCAAAGCTCAGGACTTTGTGAAGAAGCTTGCTCAGGTCTTGGAGGATGATGAGCGCATCAGAGATCAGTTGGAAACCTTGGTCAGCCCCAGCTGCTCCTGTAAGCAAGCTGAAGTCTGTGTGGTGAGTTTCTTTCACAGATAAGTATTCTCAACAACAACAAAAAAACGCTGCCCATCTATTTATTTATGTCTTACTTAAAAAATATATATTCATCGTGTCATCTACGCAGCGAGACATCACGAAAAAGCTCGGCAGCCCCAAACAACCCAGCAACCCATTCCTGGAAATGGTTAAGTTTCTTCTGGAGAGGATTGCTCCCGTCCACATCGACACAGAATCCATCAGGTTGGTGGGAGAGGTCAAAACTTCAGATTATGTTGTTGAAAGTATTGTGGAAAGCTGCAAACGTAATGTTGTTCTAGTAATTTACATCATTGATCTAATTCTTTTTCCTCTTTAATCCTTTCAGTGCTTTGATAAAACAGGTAAACAAGTCTATTGATGGAACAGCTGATGATGAAGAGGAGGGTGTTCCCACAGAAGAGGCCATCAGAGCAGGACTGGAACTGTTGAAGGTAAATATATCAAATTAAAGAATTATATATTGCCGCCACCTTTCATGCTACAGTTTCAAATTAAGATCGTCTTGTGCTGAGATGGGTCAGAGTTACATTATCGCCGTTATGCTCACTCACCGAGGAGAACATTAAGCACAATCTTGAGATATGTTCGCTCTTGGAGTATGAGGTTTGTAAGTTCAGTCATCCAGGTAGATAACAACAACAAAAAAAGGTTAAATCATGTCATATGGATCAGTTCATACTCTTGGAGTATGTGTTTCGGATGACTCAGTCCCTGATGCATCAAATTCTAGCTTAATTTCTGTAAAATTTACTATTTGAAATTGAAATTGTTATACAGTAGTCCCTCGTTTATCGCGGGGGTTATGTAATAAGTGAAAAACTGCTAAGTAGGAACTCTATATTCATTTTAGTATTTATATACATTTTAAGGCTTTATAAACACGTCTCACACTTTTGAAATGTTCTTAACTCTTAAACCTACATCATTTTAACAACATGTATGTACTGCACATTAGCTACGTACTGCAAACAAAACCACACAATGGTCCCGATCGAGTCCAAATCCAGATGAAAAAAGTCCTGGTGAGCAACGGAGAAAACACTGGACCTCCAAGCAACGCCTCATCACTCGGGAGGCCTCATGGGCCGGCAGACGGCACTCCGATTGACCAATGAGGCTGGAAGTCCGGTTCAGGTCCAATTTTCAGTTGGTTCCGTACGGCTCTGCGTCCACTGAGCGCCAAAGTCCCTATGAATAAGGACCAAACTTTTCTGGATCGGATCAAATTTTCCCTCCATTTCAGCAGAAATCAACAGCTGGAAGCCGTGTTGGCTTCTGGGAAATGTAGTCCATTTGAGTGGTGATACAGTGTAGGTTTATTTAGAGAAAACTACAAAATGGCAGAGCCTGTCCGAAGTATTTTTTTTCATTAACTTTTTACTGTATCCCTTACTGTCCCAATCACGTGAGTTAATGCTCAAATTTTAAGCAATGATCTGGCACTGTGTGTAGCACTCAGATTATAGGTTGGAGATGACTCTCAGCTACTGTTACAACAAATTTTAGCTCAATATTTAAAAAATGTACTTAATTACAGCCATTATTGTGTTTTCTAAAGTTACTTCACTGCAACAGCCACCCTGAATTAATTTGACATCTAAAGTTGATCAGTTGTAGATGCACATCTATTAATTACCTTCTCAGAGTTTCAGTAAAATCTATTTGATGGTTCATGATAGGGGTGCGAATCTCTGTGTCTGACGATCAGATTCGATTCCGATTTTTGAAGTCATGATACGATTTGAAATTGATTTTCCCCGATTCGAAACGATTTTCGATTCAGAAACGATTTTTCTATTGAAATGGTCATACATTTTGTTTCAATTATGTAGCTGACAAGCTGAAAAGATTAAACAATAATGTAAACCAATAGACCATTTATTTACAAATCATTTTAGGTTCCTTACTGTATCAAATATTTTTAATTCATTTTATATTTATACCAAAAATAGGAAAAAATATAGAAATGCATAAATTTCTGTAACTTAAATTACCAGTATTAGGTTAGCTTAGTTGCCTGAATTTTTCTAAAAAAAATTAAAAAAATCAAAGTCTACGAACAAATAATTCATCCATCCATCATCTTTACCCACTTCTTCCTTTTCGAGTCATGGGGGTCACTGGTGCCCATATCAGCCATCACTGTGTGAGAGGCGGGGGACACCTGGACAGGTCTCCAGTCCATCACAAATAAATAATTCAAAATATATAAATATAAAAGTAAACAGACTTCAGCCTACCACACATAGTACATTAACCTTTAGCTCAAAATAAAATACAGACTTCAAATATTTTTAACCATATTGCTCTAACATTTGTTATATTTTCAAAACTTAACCTAATATGAACTATACAGACTTCAGTCTTAACCATATTGATTCATATTTAGTAAATATTTAACAAAATTTCAAAACCTGTGGAAACCTGCACAAAAATCTCTTCTGAACTATAGTTTATAAACCATAAACTGTATCATTTAGAACTGGCTCCAGGTGATGTCTCATCTGTCCTCTTCAACCTGTTAAAAAGACAAATTGCATAAAGTTTGTTGTACAACTTGTCTATAAGTTTTAGTATAATATGAGAAAAAACAGTAACCTTTGAGCTGCAGCTGCATCAGAGCTTCTCCCATTTGTTGTTTCATGGTGAAGTTGTGGAGCTGCTTTATCGCAAAAAAATATATAAAAATCTACATGAAGGAATAATGTACATTGAATCCATCATATTAAAAATAAACCTGAACTTCTCACCTTCTACTGAGCTGTCTGATCGTAAGTCCTTTGTGATACAGCAGGAGATGGAGAGGGAACTCTTCACAGCCTTTGGGAGAAGCCTGGAAGTTTGTTGCAGAGCTCGCTGGTCGGCTGCTTCGCTTTCATCTTCCATGAATTTTGTCGTATTTCCAAAATACTGTACCGCAATTTTATTTTACACTTCTTGTAAACAACTGTGCTCTTGTGAAGCTCTGTCTTCCCCTGGAACACTGTAGGATCTGAAATGACTTTTAAAGACGAAGCAGCGGGTTGAATCGCGCTGTCCCCCTCTTCCATGCTAGCAGGCCACATTCAGATAAAGGGAGCTGGCTAACTAGCTTGCTGTACGGTGGCCTACACGGCTCAATTCTACGGCGGCCGAACGGGGAGTAGGAGTGGAAAAAATATAAAACTTAAATGCATTTTAAATCGATTTATGGCCCTTTAGAAACGATTCAGAATCGCCAGGACTAAGAATCTAGATTCATCGAAAAACGATTTTTTTTCTGCACCCCTAGTTCACGAGATATTTAGCTAACAGACAGACCAACGCACACATCCACACCAACAAAAAACCTTTGTCCTTTTATCTTATTTTGTCATTACTATATCATATTTTGCCTTCAAATAAAAAAGGAAAGCTTTACATTTATTTAGTGAACTGAATGTTTGTTGCTGCCTGTAATTTTCCTACTCGGCATTTAAAAAAAAATCAAGTTTTGTTGAAGTAAAACTAAGGTAATCAAAACAAATACTATTAACTTTTATCGTTTGTACTTCAGCTAAACAAAGACTAAACTGTGGTCATTGTTAACAAAGAACGAAAGGTTTTGATTTTCTTCCCATTTTCCTGAAACGTTCGAAGCACTTTTCATGAAGATGTTCATTATTGTAAGAAATGAGAAAACATGCATCATGCAGCTTTTTGACCTATTTTATCACCAACAGGTGCTGTCTTTCACACACCCCGTGTCATTCCACTCCGCTGAGACGTTCGAGTCTTTGCTGGGTTGTCTAAAAATGGAAGATGAGAAAGTGGCCGAGGCTGCTCTGCAGATCTTCAAGAACACAGGCAGCAAGATGGAGGAGAGTTTTCCTCACATCAAATCGTACGTTTTATTAACAGATTATTATTTGAATCTTCTGTCGTACATCAACACTTTGATATTCAGTGATGTCTTTAGGTTACTTTTGCAGCCTTGCAGAAAAACAAGACATTAGTCTAATGATATGTGAAGTGTTTTTTTGTTGTTGCCAGTTTTAAATGTTTTGAATCTGCTTCTAGTGTTTTACTGCCAGTACTGCAAGCCAAAGCTAAGAGAGGTCCTCCTCGCCAGGCCAAGTACTCGATCCACTGCATCAACGCCATGTTCAGCAACAGAGACACACACTTTGCCCAAATCTTTGAGGTCAGTAGTAGTTACTTTGATTCCATGTATTCCTACAAACGAAAGGGGAAAGTTGATTGTACAATATTATTTGTTACAAAAATAACTTTATTTTTAATTTTTATCACATTTTTTTCTTTCTTTTTAGGGGGGGAGGGGGGTTATTTAAAAAGCAGTGCAGTACGACCTGAGAACGTACTTCATTTACATCAAGTTAATTTTGATGAAATTGCAGTCACTCCTGTTTTTCCCCTCAACTAGAAACAAAACTAAACACTGAGTTAAATCTCATGCGTTTTCCAGCCTCTGCACAAAAGTCTGGACCCTGCTAACCTGGAGCAGCTCATCACCCCTCTGACCACGCTGGGTCACCTCGCCCAGCTGGCCCCAGAACAGTTTGCTGCACCACTGAAATCGCTCGTTGCCAACTTCATTGTGAAGGATCTGCTCATGAACGACAGGGTAAGAATACGCACACCTCCATTCATGTCTGATTCATGCTGTGAGGGCATCTTTGCATACACCAAATGTAATCCTTTCTTAGGATCTGACTCATCTCTGCCTCAAAGTCTCACAAATACTTTGTGGTTATTAATATGTAATAAACTAACATAATGACGTGTAATATTTAGATCCCTGGCAAGAAGACAACCAAACTTTGGGTTTCTGATGATGAAGTGTCTCCAGAAACTATGGCTAAGGTCAGTACTGAATAAACCTTTTTCTAAAGCCTTTTTATTCTCCTCCTGTGGAATATTTCCAGCCCTAAGTGTCTTAATAGTTCCCAAGTCACAGTTTTTCATTATTTATGAATCTTTAAGCATCAGTAGATTTTCATTCGGGCCCAAAAAATCCGATCCGTCCCCGTCCCGTAGCCATCATTTCTGAACCCCACCTGGCCCGACAAATTAACAGTAATTACAGACCCACCCACCCCCACCCCCCAAGAATTATTATTATTATTTTTTTAATTAAGCTTTGACTGCTTATATAGTTTAACGGTCGGCGGATGTGCGTGGCTGAGGGGGTGTTTGTCCTTTCATGGCCGTCAACGTGCATTAAATCCCTGCTTCTGCCTGCATTCTGCATTATTCAGACATGGACCGTGCTCTGACATGTCTGCTTTGGGTCGTTGGCCGCTCGCATCCACTGAGTGCAGCAGGTGAATGTCCATTTGAGCGATGGATCACTACCTGGTAGTACCGGTAGTCCCATCTCAAGATTAACTGAACTTTATCTTTAAAGGCAGTTCAGCTCACAGTGAAATGGCCGCGTACATCTGGTGATTGTATGGCAAGCCATGTTGCCATATAATTAGATTGCAGCTGATCTGCTGACGCACTCAAAAGCCTGACACCAACCCGGCCCCCGGGCCAGGCTTTTGGCCTAGGTTAGAAATGACAGCTCTATCAAGGAGGACATTAACTCTGACCTTTCATTCCTCAGATCCAGGGCATAAAGCTGATGGTGAGGTGGCTGCTGGGAGTGAAGAACAACCAGAGCAAATCGGGCAACTCCACCCTGAGGATGCTGACTGCGATCCTCCACAGTGATGGAGACCTAACTGAGCAGGGCAAGATGGGGTAAGCACCCATAAAAAAATAAATCGTGAAGTTCCTGCCTGTAGTTTCCTTTGAGAAACTTTAGGAAAATAGTCACGTTTCAGTAAACCACTGAATTTATGTTGGTGTTCTGAATCAGTCGAGATGTTGGGCTTTCTAAACAACTGCCTTCTTTTTATTCCTTAGTAAACCAGACATGTCAAGGCTGCGTCTGGCAGCAGCGTGCGCACTCCTCAAGCTGGCACAGGAGCCCTGCTATCATGAAATCATCACTCTGGAGCAATATCAGCTGTGTGCTCTTGTCATCAACGTAAGAACTTCCTTCGGTCCTCTCTCCTTGTAAAGCTCAGTATTCTACACAAACGTTTGATTTTATGTTGCGGTTTAATATTTGCACAAGATAACTTAAAGATGATGCTAGAGGAAATTGTCTAACATTCATCCCCCCATCCTAATGTTCATTTTCTCCTCTTTTTTTTTTTTTTTTTTGCCATTTCATCAAATTATTTTGTTCCTCTTCCTCCCAGGACGAATGCTACCAAGTGCGACAATGTTTTGCTCAGAAGCTCCATCGAGGCTTGTGCCGCCTCCGTCTGCCGCTGGAGTACATGGCAGTGTTTGCTTTGTGTGCCAAAGATCCTGTAAAGGAGAGGAGGGCTCACGCTCGCCAGTGCCTGGTGAAAAATGTCAACATACGCCGAGAGTATCTCAAACAGCACGCAGCTATCAGCGGTAAAGACGCTAACATTTCTCTTGCAGGCTGTTGCTTGTGGGTATTTATTATCGGACGTCGCTACAAAAGTTAGTTGCATAAAGCAAATAATTGTTTATTCAGCTTGTGCCGAATGTTTTTAGTGTATTCAGAATGTAGCATTTGATACATGAGCAGTTTTGGCGTTTGTCTTTTATGGCGTTGGTGTAACATTAGCACTGTTTGAACAGACAAGCTGTTGTCTCTGCTGCCGGAGTATGTGGTTCCCTACACCATCCACCTTCTGGCTCATGACCCAGACTATGTCAAAGTGCAGGACATTGAGCAGCTGAAAGAAATCAAAGAGTAAGTAAAATATGTTGAAGTTCCAGTTTGTTCTAGTAGAATACAGGTCCTTCTCAAAAAATTAGCATATTGTGATAAAGGTCATTATTTTCCATAATGTAATGATAAAAATGAAACTTTCATATATTTCAGATTCATTGCACACCAACTGAAATATTTCAGGTCTTTAATTGTTTTAATACTGATGATTATGGCATACAGCTCATGAAAACCCAAAATGCCTGTCCCAAAAAATTAGCATATCATGAAAAGTTTCTCTAAACAAGCTATTAACCTGACCATCTGAATCAACGACGTAACTCTAAACACCTGCAAACGATTCCTGAGGCTTTTAAAAACTCCCAGCCTTGTTCATTACTCAAAGCCGCAATTGTAGTGAACCTGATCTGACCTCAAATCTGATCAGATGACAGAGACTGTTATTTCATTGATCTGCATCCAGAAATACAGTTTGAGCCATCTGGTGACTTTCTTTCTTGAATCAATCAAGCAGAAAAGACAATTCTCTATGATCATTACTATTTTACAAATGTTTGATAATCAAATTGTGTTAGTTCACTCAATGTTTACAGGTTGAAGAAAACTACTCATTTTTATTTTACATAAACAGTAAGTAATAATTTTTATTCCTCATTCAAAGAAGAAATCAGGTTAATATGCATTTCTTGATTTTTCTGTCTGCAATGAGCGAGTTTTGTAAGTATGTTAAAGGTCGGTTCTCGGTCAACTAAAATGTTTACTGAGAAGAAATGTCATGTTTAAACTTTTTCAGAAGATAATAAGAGGGAGACTCCACGAAGTCTGGTTTTCTGCAATAATCTTTCTGTCTGTTGTTGAACAATCTCATTCTCTGACCTCGAATTTGATAACATCTTACATCACAAACCACACCTCTATTCTGGTTAATCCACGAATCAGAAAGCTCTAAATTGACCCGGAAGTCAACTCATTTAAAATGTGGCAACTTCCCGGTTCTTGGGGGAGAGTGCACAGAGTCTGAAGTCTGAAGCCAGACGCTGAAGATTAATGGAGCTAAAAAGAGTCTGATGCTGCAGAGCTCTGAGAATTCCACACAGAGTGCTGATGAGTTGAAAGGAGTTCAGAGTTCTTGGATGCAAACGCGTTCAGGATGATCCAGAGACGTTTTGGGATTATAACTTCTGTTTGAACAACCTCGTACGACTCTCTAAGGGTTTGGCAGTTCTCACGGAGACGCTGAAAGAGTCAGAAAGGAACCCTAAGCCGACACTGATTTCATCGTCAACCAGGTAGAAGGTTCTATTTTCGACCAAGTGTACCGTGGGCCAGCTGAGATCTGATGGAGCGTGCACGTTTCTGGTCAAACAGATTAATTCCCTCACAAATCTCTCTGTAAGATAAATCTCCATTTCCATCTTAAACTCTCCTTTCTCCTAAAATCAGTACAGACATTTTAGAAATATCTGAAGCTAAGTCCTCAATCACCGCCGTGTGATTGAAGTCCATTATTTGTGAAACTTGTCTGTTATTATTTTCATATTTTGCCAAATTAATGTAAATGTTTGATGTTAAACTTTGATTCTGAAAATAAATGACCGCATTCATTTTGATGGGTCAAAGATAAATAACGTCTCTCGTTACATTTCTGTTAAAATTCAATGCACGACATTTACACAGTCAGAAAGATGAGGAACTCGTGAAAAAGTATGAATATATATCCCTATATGACATACTACACAATCATGGGTAAGACTGCCGACCTGACTGCTGTCCAGAAGGACATCATTGACACCCTCAAGCAAGAGGGGAAGACACAGAAAGAAACTGCTGAACGAATAGGCTGTTCCCAGAGTGCTGTATCAAGGCACCTCAGTGGGAAGTCTGTGGGAAGAGAAAAGTGTGGCAGAAAACGCTGCACAATGAGAAGAGGTGACCGGACCCTGAGGAGGATTGTGGAGAAGGGCCGATTCCAGACCTTGGGGGACCTGCAGAAGCAGTGGACTGAGTCTGGAGTAGAAACATCCAGAGCCACCGTGCACAGGCGTGTGCAGGAAATGGGCTACAGGTGCCGCATTCCCCAGGTCAAGCCACTTTTGAACCAGAAACAGCGGCAGAAGCGCCTGACCTGGGCTACAGAGAAGCAGCACTGGACTGTTGCTCAGTGGTCCAAAGTACTTTTTTCAGATGAAAGCAAATTTTGCATGTCATTCGAAAATCAAGGTGCCAGAGTCTGGAGGAAGACTGGGAAGAAGGAAATGCCAAAATGCCAGAAGTCCAGTGTGAAGCACCCACAGTCAGTGATGGTCTGGGGTGCCATGTCAGCTGCTGGTGTTGGTCCACTGTGTTTTATCAAGGGCAGGGTCAATGCAGCTAGCTATCAGGAGATTTTGGAGCACTTCATGCTTCAATCTGCTGAAAAGCTTTATGGAGATGAATATTTCATTTTTCAGCACGACCTGGCACCTGCTCACAGTGCCAAAACCACTGTTAAATGGTTTACTGACCATGGTATTACTGTGCTCAATTGGCCTGCCATCTCTCCTGACCTGAACCCCATAGAGAACCTGTGGGATATTATGAAGAGAAAGTTGAGAGACGCAAGACCCAACACTCTGGATGAGCTTAAGGCCGCTATCGAAGCATCCTGGGCCTCCATAACACCTCAGCAGTGCCACAGGCTGATTGCCTCCATGCCACGCCGCATTGAAGCAGTCATTCATGCAAAAGGATTCCCGACCAAGTATTGAGTGCATAACTGAACATGATTATTTGAAGGTTGGCGGTTTTTTTTTATTAAAAACACTTGTCTTTCATTGGTGGGATGAAATATGCTAATTTTATGAGACAGGCATTTTGGGTTTTCATGAGCTGTATGCCATAATCATCAGTATTAAAACAATTAAAGACCTGAAAAATTTCAGTTGGTGTGCAATGAATCTGAAATATATGAAAGTTTCATTTTTATCATTACATTATGGAAAATAATGACCTTTATCAAAATATGCTAATTTTTTGAGAAGGACCTGTACATCAGAATATTTCAGCCCGGTGTGCTTACTGATAATTTAGAGGAGTTGATTTCTGTTTGTGAGGGGGAAACAATGTAATAAATATAATTAATCTTCTAGAGATATTTATGGTTTTAGAGTTGGAAGTTGTTACTGAAAAATATTTTTTAATTCAAAGTTTTGCACGTTTATGTGATTTCTTCATTTTAGAGCTTTGTGGTTTGTCCTCGAGATCATCATGGCCAAGAATGAGAACAACAGCCACGCCTTCATAAGAAAAATGGTAGAAAATATCAAACAGACAAAAGACGCCCAGGCCTCCAGTGACCCCAAAACTAACGAGGTATTCTTACAAATTAAAGCCTGATGAAAATTGACTGTGTATTTTTATTTTGTCCGACCAGATGTTTGTTTTCCCTCATACAGAAACTGTACACAGTGTGTGATGTAGCCATGAACATCATCATGTCGAAGAGCACCACCTACAGCCTGGAGTCCCCCAAAGACCCCGTGCTGCCGTCACGCTTCTTCACCAAACCAGACAAGGTCGGCCACAAAACGTTTCTAGATTGTTTGTGTTGATTCTCTTTTCATAAGTAAAATCATTCACATGCAGCTTTTCTGTTTCAGAATTTCAGCAACACTAAAAATTATCTCCCTCCAGAGATGAAAGCATTCTTTTCACCAGGAAAAGTAAGCTCAAGAAAACTTGGAACATCTAATTGTCGTGCGATTTATCCTTTATCCAACCATGGTCGTTTCTGTCTGCTCCTCTCTCCAGCCCAAGTCGGCTAACGTTTTGGGTGCAGTGAACAAGCCGCTGGCGTCAGCCGGTAAACAGCTGCAGAGTAAAGCCTCCCGTATGGAGACGACCAGTAACGACTCTTCGTCCAACCCAGGATCCCCACAGCGCAGCAAGACCAGGTGAAACACAAAACCCCATTTGCTCAAGTGTCAGTAATGATGATCTCGTATGTTAAAGTCATCCAGCTCCAGGCTTTCAGTTGTTATAACCATTTATTTTTGCCTCTTCCCAGACATGACAGCACAGAAATGGATCATAGTGAAAATGAAGACATCAGCCTGAGAGCAGACAGTGTTGACAAGGTATTAAACTGAGATATGAATTTCTTTCAGATAGGTTTGATTCATCCAGGTAAAACTAATTTAACATTTTAGATCATTTCTAATAAATATTTAAAAAAATTAATCTATTTGAAAGAACAAGTTGTAACATTTTCTGCTCCAACCTTTGTCCAAATGACCAAATTCACCATATTTTTAGTAATTTTCAGCTCTAATTTATCAGAAAACAATTCTCTCCTTCCTATTTTGAACAATTTTATTATTGTCTTTGTGTTAATTTAGTTTATAAAGTTTATTTCTATTGTATTTTAGTTTGAGTTTTGGACGTAGCACTAATAAGACATTGGGGATGGGCGTTTTGAACAAATCTGTCAGTAAATATTTGATTTTACTTTAATTATTTGACGCTCCCCTTCCCCAGCGCTCTTAACAGACCATCTTGGATCAGTTTATGCATCACATTATGTGCATGTGCTGTTTTTGTCCTTTACTCATTCAGGGCTAATTAATGCAGCACAAGAAACTGTTTGAAAGCAGAGAGACCAGTCTTAATGAGATTCCATCTCAGTTTCTGTTATGTGATTTAGGACCGTGGCCTGTTTCACAGTTTTAGACTTTTTGTGAATTAAAGTGTACTCAACCCAAGTCCTGCAGCTGGAAACCCCTGGAAACAAAGGCTTTGGGTACAGAGCCATGTGCTGCTGCCAATACTGCAAGCCGGGGATCTTTACCAGTCAAATAGATTACCGTACTTGCTGTCGTACTCGTCGCACTGCCATATAAGTCCAAATATGTCTAATAAAGTAGAAAAAAACAAAAATATGTCACTTCGCCGTATAAGTCACATCTATTATGCATCACCGTTGATGTGTCGCGTTTGTTACGTGTCACCGCTGACCACCCGGAAATGTGGGCCAGTGTTGTGCCAAAAATCGATTGGTTGCCAAATGGCGGGAGCGTGCATGGGAGGACAAGAATTTAACAAGATTAACACTTAAAAACAATTATTTGTTTTCTTAAAATTATAGCAAAGGTGTGTCTCAGTTGAACTTTTCCTTAATAAATGCACTTTGACGGTCAAATCAGCTGCATTTCACAAGCCAATTCACAGAAGCGATAGCACGCAGAAGGACGACTCGCTGTGCATTTCTTCGAAATTTAACAAGATAACCATCTAAAAAGTTATTTTTTTGCTCGGAATTATAGCAAAGGTGTGTCTCAGTTTAATTTTTACTTAATAAATTCACTTTAATGGTCAAATCAGCTGCATTTCACCTGGGCGGCGCGGTGAAATGCAGCTGATTTGACGTTTGCTCCAGGAGTTCTGCCGCGAGATGAAGGTGGCTTTGTATGGCAAGCCAAGTGTCTCATTAATAGCCATTTTTACCTATTAATGAGAAACTTGGCTTGCCATATTTGAGTGCCTTCTAGTGGCTGAAAATGGTAGTGTTCGATATTTTCCATGTCAGCATGAATGAAATGGTCAGATCTCAACCTAAAATTGGGTTATAAATATGGGAAAAAACATAAAAACGTTGCTTCGCTGTAGAAGTCACAGGCATGCTAATTCATACAAAAAACTGACTTGTACAGCGAAATTTACGGTAATGTGAAGGGGCTGGGGACTTAATCTGACAGGAAAGATGAGCTCAGATGTTCCTGTAGTTTCCCATTTATCCTTTCAAAATGAACGACCATTGCAAAAACAGACGCTGAGACGTTCTTAGTAGTTTTTTGTGTTTGTTTTTGAGAGGGTGGGGAGTAGGTGTTGTCGAAAAGCACGGTTAGGAAACAACTTGACGTGTCCTTATATCGCAAAGAAACAAGTCAGCCATTCTTCAAGTCGCCCATTTTAACACGAATTCAAAAATCACTTCCTCATGAATAATGCAGGCAGAAAACATTGAGGGCTCCATGGAAATTTTGTAGTGGCTTATGGATCTTAAATAAACTAAAGTGGCTGTTGCTCTCTGTTCTGTCGTACGGCTGCATAAATAAACCCAAACCTTATCTGAAACGACACCGGCACTCACGAGTAACGCTGCGTGTGTTGCTGTGATCCAGCTGAGTGCTGCCAGTCGTAAATCCTCGTCTCAGTGTTTGAAGCTTCTGTCCAAACAACCAGCTGAAGTGAAGTCAAGGCAGGATGAGCAAATACAAACTGTGTAAACGTCTTCAATAACAGCCTCACCGCTCGCTGCACACTCTGGGGTTTTAAAAGCTCTTATAAAATGTGACAAAAGGCCTTAATGCATGCAGGAATTGTCTTGTTTTATGTAGGTTACAACTTTCACCTTTAAAATGTGAAGATTAAATTTAAATTGGACAACTATCTGCTCAATTTTTGCTAAATAAAATGTTTTGTTTTAATTCATTAAAAGTTTCTGGCTAGCTAGATTTATAGTTTCTCACTATAGCTAGCTGTAGTGAGAAGCCCAGCTCAGTCCGTGTTGGAGCATTGTGCTGCAGGTTTATTTCACAAGAGAAATGCCCCTGGAGGACTTCTGATGTCACACCTCCCTCATCATTCCTGTTTGTTGTTGTTTGTGACTGCAGCTGTTAAAAGTAACGTCTTTTCTTTTAGGATATTGAAAAACCCCGCGGTCGCAAACGTGGCATGACTTCCAGCGACGACCAGGAGAGCAAGCCAAAGCGTGGACGCAAGAGGGCGTCCGCCAGCACGCCCGCAGCGGCCGACTGTGAAGATCCGTGGGACGAGGACGCACGGCCAGAGGACGAACAGAACAGCCCGCCCAAGAAGGGACGCAGGGGCCGACCCCCAAAGTCTGCCACGGCTAACCAGGACACGCCTTCCAAAGGGAGGAGGGGGCGCAAAAAGGCAGCTCCTCCACCTGAGGAAGATGGTGAAGAAGAGGAGGAAGAGGAAGATGAGAGGGGGGATGAGGATGAGGATGAGGATGATGATAAGAGCAGTGAAAACATGGAGGTGAAGACTAAAGGAGGAAGGCAAGCCAGAGCGTCGCGACGATCACAAGGGTACGAAGAACTGCTTCATCTTTTCTAAACAACCCGTTTGTTTTTGTGTGGACTGGAACTCTGAATGTGTTTGTGTTGTCCAGCAGCTCAGAGTCAATAGAGTCCACGCCACAGAAGAGGAGAGGACGTCCGCCCAAATCAGCTCAACCTGCTGCCAAGAAACCAGCGTAAGATGCTTCCCCTCGCCTGCTTTTCCAGTCCGACCTTTGCCAAACCGTCTGCTTCTAAAGCCACGAAGAAACACCAGCATGAACATTTACAGAGTCCATTATAGTTTAATACAGATAAACTGAACTGGTTCCACACTTATTGGATGTTTCTGACTGGTTCCACACACAATTAGCATTTTAAACAAACTGTACGGGTCAGTGTGGTTTTCCTGTGAAAAACCTCTTCCGTACATTTTAGGCATAAAAACTTTGTATACCAGCCTGTAACTTTGCATCTCTGTTAAAGTTGGATCCTGTGAAAAGGTTAGCAACAATTAGTATCTTACCTGCTGTAGATAGCCCTCTAAACAATCTCAAGTGGGAGAAGGTTTAACTTGGGCTGATTGTCATCAGAGTGAAACCAGCTCCAGAGTAAATTTCTACCATCTTTAAACAATTACATTTATTGTTCTTATTGTGGTACTCATGTGCAACATGTGGTGAAATGACAATAAACCTACTTAAACTTGAACTATTATTACAGGTCTGTCTAGTAAATGAGTCCTCGAGGCTCAATGAGACGAACCTGTATATATAAAGGTTGAATGAATGCTAACAGTGTTGACATCAACACTGTTAGCATTACGATGTTATTACAGCAGAAATATTATGATTAGACTGACCTAAGTGCACCACGGTAGGACTGAAAGAGCTACTGCTAGCTGCTCTTTGGTCTTGATAAATAACCAGAGAAGCTTTTGGAAAACTCTTTAATGCGAAGTTTTATAGTGATATAAAGATTTTGAAAATAACGTCCACATAAACCGCTGTGAAATGTTTTCACTTTGGTCTTGGTCCTGTTCATACTAGCTGGATGCTTGTCGATCCAGTCAGAATTAAAGTGCACTAGTCCCTCAGTTATCGCGGCGGTTACGTTCCACACACCCCCATGATAAGTGAAAAACTACGAGGTAGGATGTTATATTTATTTTAGTATTGATATATATTTTAAGGCTTTATAAACCCTTCCCACACTCTTGCAATGTTCTAAACTCTAAAACCCACATAATTTTAACAACATACACACACACACATATGTATATGTATATATATATATACATATACATATATATATACATATATATATACATATATATATACATATATATATACTACGCATGAACTCCCATTTGTTTATTCTTTGTGGTTTTCTTTTCCAGCCGCGGCGGACGATCGAAGGCCGCTGCAGTTAAAGCCGACTCTGACGAAGAAGAGGAGGAGGAGGAGGAGGAGGAAGATGAGCCAACAACAAGGGTACTCCTTCAAGCGTTAAATCCACTGTTTCTGGGTCCAATTTCAGCGTGGAAAAAAAAAAAATCTGTCTGCTCCGTTTTTCATCTTTTTGTTTCTCATTTCTCTCCAGGGTCGCAAGAAGGCAGCCGGGCGCAGAAGATGAGCTGAAAACCACCCGACTTCAATAAACAGCTCGTCTCCAAAGGAGAAATGATAAATGAAAAAAAAAAAAAACTATATATATGGACACTGAACTTTAAAATTTGTTCATATTCTCCAACTGTTACTCCACTTGCACACGACATGAGAACATCCGCATCGTCAGCTGTGGGTCTTGCTTTGTGCTGCATTGTGATAATGTTTGCCACATTAAGTAGAAATCATTTTAACATAAAAAACAAACAAAAACAACTTGTAAATAGTCTGATTCTTGTCCTGTTGTTTGATGCTGACTGGGAGGATGCTGGAAAGCTGCCTCCTGCTGATGTTCTGGATTAAAGCGCTCCCATGATGCAGTGTTGCTCATCAACGTTCCCTCGGTGTCCTACTTTTAAAAAAACCTGCAGATTACCGCTTTCTTGTGAAGTTATTAAATGTTTTTTACACCTCTGTATATTAAAACTTTTTTTTTTTACCAGGTATTGAATACTTCAAACGTGTCAGATAATGATCCACATGTAGAGTTGCTTCTGGGTATTACTGTAGTGCAGTTTTGGTTTTTAGGTCTGTGTTCGCTGGTAGAAGTTAAGTCGCCTGCAGCTGTCGTGTTTGTCACCGCTGTTTAACTTTGGCCACGCCTCCACCCAGTCAGATCTGTTGTAACAATATAATTCTCTAGAAAACCTGACTCGCTTGTCCTCTTTATTTCACATCTTTGTGTTTTTTTACACATCGTTTCTCTGCTTGAACGTGAAACTTCTCGATCCTAAACGAGCAGCTGCAGTGTGTATTTTTAACTGTTCTGTGTGTGTTCAGTCACAAACTGTCCCCCGGCTGCCAGGCATCTCTCAGTAATGTTCCTCCTGCGTTGTAAATGAGATTAGCTGTTGTTTATGCACGTACACTTGGAACTTTCCTACGCAGCCGATGGAAAAACACCCACACGCTCGCATTGTTTTACCTCTCGGTTAGAGTCCGTGACGGAGTCTGGATTCACTGCTGTTCTGCAGTTCAGGGCAGAATTGCTGAAATTTGGACAATGAGCCACATGAACTGAAAAGCTTGAACAAAATGGACATGCGTTGTATTCAGCAGTAAGATTGGACAGTTATCGTGTGAATGTTTATGAAGCACTCGCACTGTTGTCATCCATTTTTCTTGCGAATGTTTTTGGCGTCTTTCTCGGTCCACAATTTTTGTGCTATTTCAATAAATCAAAGCGTTCAGCTCATTCAGGATCATCCTGCTATGATGTTTGGTGTTGGTGCAACTTTTTAGCTTTTTGAAATATTTAGCATTTTCTGCCACGTATTTCCTCATAGAAAATGAATTGAGCTCATTTTACATTCTTCAAATCTTTAGATCTGTTTAGAACCTTTTACTGCTCCTTTACATTGTGTTCTGGTTCAGCTTCTTTCAGCTTCCTTGTGCAAAAAAATCCAAACAAAAATCAGATTTTTTTATCCATTCAGATTCTGTCGAACTACAT